TTGGTTAAATGAAACATCAACCTTTTAATGCCCTAGATAGGAGAATAGATGTATTGGGTATATCCTTTATTAAGAAAAGCAAAAGGTAGACCTAAAAAGACTTCATTAGAAAGTATCAGAAATGATATTTTTTATTAGAATTAAATAAAAATTTGACTCTTAATATGACATAATAGAGAAAAAAGGATTCATATAGTCAACCCCACATAGTGGGATAAATGCATGATGTTGTTGTTGTTGCATGTCTGAGAATTCATGGGTTAAGAGTAGCGAGTGACTGGAGGAGAAGGTTTTTTTATAAAGTCGATAATGGAGTAGTCCATGGACATTGGTCCCTTGGTTGTGCCCAATGCTTGCGGGTGATCCCTTTCGCCTGAGAAATTGAGTTAATCTCAAGCTTGCCAAACGAGGGACTGGACTATCGTTGCTGCATACTCGACACACCTATTGGGGCGACTATCTGTCTTATGTCAAGTGAGTCTCAAGTCCTAAATCCCATATGAGTTAGTTAGCCTTTGATTTGATTTTTTAATCTTGTTTCTAACTTTACTTATTTTACAGTCCCACATATTGTTATTGACCGGCTATCAAGCAAAATATGAGTTTTGAGAAACTTGCTCGTCAGAAAGGCAATAGCAGGATCTTGCTGAGTTGGTTTCATCACTCCAAGAACGGAATGTCGCATTAGAAATTTTGGAGAAATCTCAAGCGGAACAAAGGGGCTTCTTAAATCATTCTGAAATATGATAGACATTTAGCTACACACATGGATACCCTTTTTTTTAATGGACTTGTGTTCTTATTTACACGCATGCTTAGCTTTGCTAGACATTTATTGAAACATAGTAAATATAACCATCTTTTTGAAATAGAACTCTTACATAGGGGTGTCAAATAATGACTCAACCCGCCAAGCCGACCTAAACTGACCCAAAAAATCTGAGTTCGAGTCAACCTGTTTAATAAAAGGGTCAAGTTCAGGTCCAAAATTCAGACTCGTTTATTAAACAGGTAGGGTTCGGGTTAACCCACCAACCCAATATTGGCCCGAACTAACCCATTTAAATTATTTTTTTCTTAAACTTTTTTATTTGTCGATATGATTATCTTTTTTATTAATTAATATAAATCTATTATTATTATTATTTTATTATTATTATTATTATTATTATTATTATATCAAAATAGGTTATCGGGTCATTCTAGTTGCTTGCGGGTTGGGTTTTGATCCGCATTTTTTACCCATTTATTAAATGGGCCAAGTTCTGGTTGATCGGATTCGGGTCGGATCAATTCTGGGTCATCATCAAGTGAAAACTTTCCATCTACATGGGAGCCTTAGCTTGCATACAGGTTGTCCACCTGGGGACCTTAGCTCGCCTCTAAAAAGTAGTCTCGCAACTTTCAGACTTAACTCTAAGCCGAAATCACCCAATCCCAAGCTTAAGCTTGTCCACCCTTTTCTTATGTGGATGAATTTCTTTTAAGAATAAGTTTCTCTAAATATGACCTAAGTCATTAATGTGCCAATTTGCTAGTTTGCGGTTAGCTGACTCCAAACTTGAGAGTTGACTCAATAAATTTTAGGTTCAACTTTCTCCAACAATTCAAGTTTTTAACTAAATTTAAGAGACGTGATGGTTCATGATTGTGGCATACAAATGATAGGGAATGAGAGATATCTACATATAAATGAGATTATCCGATTTTCAAATTTTAATCTATTATGTTATTGAACTCGAATATGTTGAATTTTCACTCGGTGAGTTAATCTTTAGAAGAGTCAAATATAGGGCGACAAGTTCCTCAAGGTCTGGTAGTGCATATATGAGTTCCCTGAGTTTTGGTAGTGAGGGGGGTGAGTTCCCTGAAGTTTTGGGCGAATAGTCCTTAATGTTTTTATTAAACAAAGGAGAGAAGCCTTCCCTTGTATGGATCCAAGTGGGACATTTTTTTTTTGATGTCTTGGTTGCTACAATATCTCTAGTGAATGCATTTATCAACTGAGACCCTCTCTCCCTCACTTGCCCATGCATGGAGGGTAGTAGGTCTCGTCAAAGCCATGTGTTGATGTCAATGCCCTAACACTACATTGCACCTTCTGGATCACCAAGTTTGAGGACCCCTCCGGCATGTTCATCCCTTGATGCTCCCTAGGGACTCACTCCAATGCTCCTTGGATCATCCAAGTGATCCTCTCCTCCATCTCTCCAAGTTAACAGTGTGTTACGAAGTCCTGGTTCTCCATGTTGATGGATCTCTCCTAGTCATACTGCTCTATTTTTCGCAGCGCTTGGCTTCTGGTCTTTGGCATCAATCCATGCTACCTATGATGAGGTAATCGATAGGAGATTTCGGCGCGTCTATCAGAGACGACCACGGAGATCGACGACCATGATAGAGAGTCTCTATTATTGATTTTACTTGTACCAGCAGTTTATATGTTATGCTTTTATTTTCGTAGTTTCCCATTTTACCCCTGAGTGTATTAGTTGCTCTTGTAGCCCCAAGGGGTATTTTAGACTTTTGCATTTTCTTTTATTTGGAGTCTATTTATATGGCCCCTTGTATCTTGTATGGGATTATTGAATGAATGAAAATTTTCCACACTTTGTTCTCTTTGTGAGTGCATGGAGTTCTCTTGGTGAGTGCTTCCATTGAGATCTCTTAGTGAGTTCTCAAGTTATCTTTTTTTTATTGCTTGGCATAATCTTTTTCCCACTATAAAGTTCTTCTAAAATTTCCCCACCCTTTGCTCTTACCGCCGGCCCCTAGGCCTTTCCCCACCGCCGCCCACCACCGTGCCGACGACTCCCTCCCCCTCCACCACCGCCACTCCACCACCTCCTTCCCCCTCATTGAAATTTGATTTTCAAGTTTCAATTTCTTTCCAAATTTGGGAAATCTATTTTAGGAAAGTTTTGGAATAAATTCAAATTTGAAATCTAGATTTTATTTGGATTTTATTTCAAAAATTTTCAAATCTAATTATCAATTTGGAAACCTCCTCTCCCTCTCCATAATTCTCTCTCCCTCCTCAAGCATGCCGCCGGCCCCCCTATGGGGAAATCCCATTAATGCTCAATTAAACCTCCTAAATCCTATTTGAAATTCAAATTAGGATTAAAACTTTCCCTCCACTCCTCTTAAAACTGAAAATAATTTCAGTTTTCTCCCCAATAATCTCTCCTTAATTGAAATTTTCAATTAATGCATTGATTACATTAATTGAAATTTCAAATCCCTAACCCTTCCCTCCTAATTTCACAAAAACTGAAATTAAATTTCAGCTTGCTCTCAACCAGCCCGCCCCTCTCCTTGTTCTACCGCCGGCTCCCCTCTCCCTTAGCCAAGCTGCCGCCCCATCCAACCTCCTTGGGAGATCCTTCTTGCGGCGACCATCCGACTCCACTTCAAGGATGCATGGACGAACACGAGTGGAACTTAGGGTTTGAATACGACAACAACGGAAGAGTCAACATCCTCCGATCACAGTTCTTCGACGTCGGATTTGACTTCGACGATACCGTCGAAGAATACCTGGACCGGATCTTGCCGACGCTAGTAGATTCCATTGACGAACACTTCTCTGTCTACACGTGGATTATCAAAGGTCGATCTACCGTGCCCCCTCCGCCTCCGAGATCCTTTCCCACGGCGACGTTCCTTGGTACCTCCATCTTAGTCGCAACCTCGATGCTAGTCTGGACAATCTTCCGTCGCTCAACTTAGTCTTCGTAGGAAAGAGAGAGTTAAAGGTCTCAAGGTGTGAACAACTTTGTATTAATTGTGGGATTTTTATTTACTAGCCTTTGCTTTATGTTTTCCTTCGCATTTGCTTAAATGGTTTAGTTCTCTTGTTGTAGTTTCTTTGCCTAGCAAGTTGAACATCGCGAATTACTTATAATCAACTTAACTTCGATGCATGATTAGATAATTCGTTGAGCTAGCATTTAATTCTCTTTTTAACTCTTGTGTAACTCCACCATTGCATCACATCAACCTACACCTAAAAGATGTTGGATCCAAAGTTGTCTGTGAGTGATATCATAACCCTATTCTTTAGACTAGCTAGCCTATTTTAGATCTAGGAAAAAAATGAGTGACTAAGAAGAAAAAGATTTGAGACTCTATATATTCTTTATGAATAGTTATTGGCATGAAGCCCTAAAAATGCCTCTCAATCATATATTTATAGGATTAAAAAAGGTTATAGGAGAGGCTAAACCCAATGAATAATAAAGTAATCCATGATTTGAATGTTATAGATATAGACATAACTCTGGTGGCTAAAAGTGGACAGCATCTCTGGTATGGCCCTAGAACACATTCGGGGAGTACCTCGAGCGAGTGCCAATGACTAGTTACTACAATGACTGAGGGCTCTGGCAAAGGTGTTTGTTGTCATTGTTAGGTGGATGAACGTCTCCAACTTATTGGATATATGCTCACTCTATTTAAGGCAAGTTTCTCAATCGAGAAAGATTTTCTAAGATGAATGTCTCAATCGAGATTAAGATAAGTGTCTATGGGGTGGATGCCTCCTGGATGAATCCCTTATGACTCAGGCAAGTTCCCTCTCTGGTCAAAGCTCCTCTTGGATGAGGTCGCTTGATCTCCTTTGATTCCTCGATGAGCCTGTCTAATCTCCATAACTCGTTCAAATCCATGCATTGGGGTATACAACTAGCCCTCTAAATCTAGTTTCCTTCAAGTTAAAATTTGTAAAGGGGAATGTACAAAGTGACAACCAAGCTTTTAGTTTTCCAGATAGGCTTTATAGAAACGGTTATAGAACAGAGAAATTAAATTTACAAATGCATATGGACATTCAGACTCTCCTGTTAGTGACATTCAAATATAAGAACATTAAAAGATCTAAATTTCATAATATTAGTCATCTGAAAGAAGGAAGTATAAAGCATATATTATTGATCACCATAAAAGTTTATAAAATGAAAGACTGCATGGACAAAATTACAGGAAAAAAAAAGAGATACCATGCTCTCAAGAGGATCTGATTCCCGAGAAACAAGCTGCTGAAGACCGAGAATTGCAAAGGATGCAGCGATAACTGGATCTATTGTTGTATGTGGGGCAGCAGCATGCCCACCTTTTCCTTTAATAGTTGCTAGGAAGCGAGCAGATGCCGCAAGAATAGTACCGGGTCTAGAACTAACTGTACCAGTTGGGATAGCTGGGTCAACATGCATACCAAAAATGGCTTCAACATCCTCTAGTACGCCTTCTTGCAGTACATGGTAAGCACCTGCATAACCTTCTTCTGCTGGCTGGAAAAGAAGCCTCACAGAACCCTATAAACCAAGCAAGTACAAGTGGGAAAGCTTGAAACGAAATACTGTATGTGAATTGAGTGTTTAAAGTTACCTTTAAATCATTCTTATGGCTTTGAAGCAACTTAGCTGCCCCTAGGAGCATTGCCACATGAGCATCATGACCACAAGCATGCATCTTTCCACTTTCCATACTCTTGTACTCCCAGTCCACGAGCTCCTTAAGGAAGTTTAAGATATAAAAGCAGTAAGTGCATCCACCTTAAATAAAACTGCATAACATGTAACTAGGACGTCTAACCAATAATATGGTTTTGCTTGACGTAGATCCGGATCTATCCAGTAGCACGTAGATATTCGTAAAAGCAAAGCTGAGATTTCAAGCTAAAAGAATTTACAAATACTCAAACAGATACCAAATTGCAAAATGGAAAAAATGTAATTTGGTACCTGCACCATTGACCCCTTTTCCAGTTGCAAAACATAGGTTTGGAGCAAGCCTAAGGCTTCGTTTGGGACGACTTTCTTGTTGCTTCTTAAATCAGCTTTTTAGTATAAAAATTTTAATTTTTGTACTAAAAAATTGCTTTAAGAAGCAACAAAAAAACGGTCCCAAATGAAGCCTAAGTATGAGCTGGTTGACCCAGCATATATAGATTTGAAATCGGATCCACATTGATGCCTTTAGAAGTATTTAGGGACAGACAATTCATTGGATGTCCCAAAAAACCCCTATGTAATCAGGAGCTCAAGAAACAAGCTCCAAAAAGCATTCCCTACACCTAAAATTTTATGATACACATGAAAGTGAAAACATAGTCCCATCTGATATATATCAAAATTATGTTAGAAATTATGTTAGTTTTGATATGCTGGTGTAAAACTTAGTCTCATTCATTTGGTTGAGCATCTTGATAAGCTTATGCTTTAAGATTAAAAATGAATTTGAACACTAATATAGGAGACCTAACTTTGATTCTTCTTTGGTGCATTTATCCCTAACAGGTTAAAACAGAGTCAATAATTCAATTGGGATGGAGTATTTCATGTAGTTTATAGCTCTCATAATTAAAGGCTATTTTTGTCATGATTGAGCAAAGTTCAATTTTGGATGATTCAATGCAGAATCCATGAATGGCTTCATGGTGCATGGCACTTGCCACTTCTATATGAAGGGATGGGTGAGAGGAATAAATGGTTTGAATAGGAAAGTTAATATTTTCATGGAAAACAAAGTATCACCGAGAAAGCATTGAGTATGCCTTCTAGCAAGATGCCACCTAGATTGAGCTTGCACACCTAATCTTTTCTAGTCATTGCCTTTGGTGCTGTCAACTGCCAGCTTGTGGGAAGATACATCTCGCTGACTTGCAAAGCTAAAGGCCAATTGAGCCAACTAGACGCTTCTAGCAAGATGTCCACTAGATTGAGCTTGTACACTTAATCTTGTAGCTTCAACTCATCTCCAAATGGCCAATTGAATGTTCTCAGTTTATAAATGCTCTATAACAAGTAGTCTTTGAGTGCATTCAACATCTTCAATTCATCAGATTACATAACAGTTCATCAGTCTTAAGGGAGCAATGGTGTTTGGTAACGAATACGTTCCACTTTCCTATTGGTGAGATAACCATAACACTCCAGAATATACAGCCCATTCCTGGTATTAGTGTGTACAGTCTAGCCCTAATTGGCCCTATAATGGTTGGGCCTGGTTTACGATGGTCAAGTTAGTTTGAATGTTGTGATGAGCTACTGGGAAGCCATACAAACCCTGATGCCATATATCATCAACCAGACGAGCACGATGTCAAAGAAAGCGTCAGGATGTGTCATTCTCAGGCGCATTCAAAATTACAATTTCACTGGATTCTATGAACATTCTATAGAAATAATTACAACTATTTGCCTTTTATTACTTTTTTACATGTCAGAATATATATTCAATACCAAGGTTTAAAATTGCGCAATTGGGTATTGAGGCATTTTTCGTTCGTGAGGCGAGGCGTAAGCCTCAAAATCTAAAAATTGCGTAAAGTTAAAATAAAAGTTAAAAGTAATTTTTTATATAATACCCAAATAACATGTTAAAGGATCACATATTAAATTTCTATTGAACTATGAAGTAACAAATTTATGTACATATGAAACAAAAATTGCATAAGATGTAAATAGGTAAGTGATAAATTATGTGAACTAGAATTGAAATCCAAATATTACAGGAATAAAATAACATAAAATATATGAATTGCATAAAAGTATCATATAACATTAATTTCAACTCTAAATTTTTTTCTTTCTCAGTTGCCTACTCATCTACGTTTAATTCCTTAAAATAATTGACAACTCAAAAATCATATGTTCTATTATTACTAAGGCGATTTTTATTTGAGTCGTTGTCATAACAAATCGGTCTTTCATTCCAGTAGGGTTCAATACCTCTCAATCTGCTTCTTCATTTATTTCAGTTATCTTCATCTTTCATCAACATAAAAATAAGAGTAATACTCCAAAAATTTTAGAGGAGATGGTGGCGACATGTGGCTTTCAAAGTGATCCCCTATAGTGGCTATAACAGTGGTGGCTACACCGAAGGAGGTGGGTTGGAGTTCGAGGCAGTTGAGAGGAAATTTTTGTGGCTTAGGGGTGCAAGAAGGCATTAATTTTTTGGAGCTTTCGTATAACATTTAGGTAAGTTTTAAATAAAAAAGACATAAATAGACTAAGGCGTATGCCTCATGCCAGCAATGCGAGGCGCTCCTCAAGGCGGGTGTGAGCTAAGATTAGTCGTAAGCCTCATAAAAAAAAGCTCAAAGCATAAGCCTCAAGGCGTTTTTCTTTGGAATAGCGCTGAGGCGAGCCTCATATTGCGAAATTTTAGACAATATTCTATACATGTTGGGATGTTTCTTGCTTTCAAATATTTCTAGCTCACATGTTCATATACAATATTTATCATTACAAAAAAATCTGAAAATGTTCATCCAGAACTCAATAGGAGGCTCTGTGCATGCACACCCATCGATGGAGTTAAATTTGTCAACTAAACCAATGTGTATTTATAGCTGGGTGTTTGCCCCTCTTTACAAGTTCGATTTTGGGAGCGATTACATGTCATTAAGCCAATGTTCAATGTAACTTTTATAAAAGACATCATTGAAAAATCACTTGGATTCAAGTTTTTTTTTATCTATAACTTAATTATCACTTTATAATGAGTCCATAATATCAAACAACATGCAAGTGGGGTGAGGAACGGGTCTAAGAGGTACTGGTTGATGATGCAATGACTACAGGGATAATATTGACAGTCTCAACAAAATCAGGGAAGCATACCGTAGCAGTTAAGGAAAACCACTAAAGCATATTTTTACAACTGTTTCCTAACTTTGGAACATCAGGTCATATGGACACCAAACACTCAAGATATCATGGCTTAGTTGCCCACGAACACACGAACTAACGGATACATGGATGGCCTGTGTTCCACTTATCAGTTGGAAGCGTATGGAGTAGCACCTTCCAAGATTGGGTGATGCGACAGTTTGACAACATCGAATCTTCTTCGATTGAACCAATAGAACGAACGTTCTAGGGAGTAGATGAGTGAGGTAGAGTGAACGTGAATTAGATGCATTATCACCAAACATATACAAAGTTATGAAACAATTGACATGCATATATAACGCAAGTAACTTTACTAGAAGGTAACAACAAATGAGAGTTGGTGACTTATTGAGATTGAGCAGATCATAAGCATCACTCTATTTAGTGAAGGCCCGGATCAGACCTCCTGAAACAAACTATCCTAGTATGCAGTTTAAAAAAGTAATATTAATTTGACATCACCTATTCATGTACTTTTTTTTTATTACTTGAATATTATGCAAGAGCAGATGGATTACTTTATACATACCAAAGGCATCGCCATATTATTTATTGATGTAGGCACGGTGACAATGCAAATTCAATGATGTTGGCTCTGAATGAGATCATAGAGTTGTAATCCTAGACCCAGCAAGACATGTTATTTCAACAAACTCAATCGGCCATCATAGGTGCACACGATGAAGGGAAGAGGCGATCAAGGAGGCTCAACAAGCACCTACTAAGAATACATCTGGGACATATGCCATTCCACGTCAACTGATAACTTAGCTGATTGTGTATTCAAAAGGCTGCTTTTACTTAGTTGTTATGTCTCATATTTTCATCATAGTTATATTGAATAATTATATAATAAAATTTTCACATGACAAGTTGGTGATGTCGACATAACTTATAAATAAATTACAAGGAAATTATTGAGTAGGCACATAATGGAAAACATTGCATGATTTTGCACCGACAGCTTAGTCATCTAAGAAATCCAATATAACACAACCAAAGATAGCATAAATTACAATTTTAACTAAATGATTTCACAAAATTACCCCAAAAATAATAACAATTCATGCGAGCAATAGGAAAATAAAGATATCATTACACAATCGATATGTATGAAATCATATATAACATAGTATATGAGTGATAAATAAATTATAAGTTCATCCAAACAACTATACGGAAAATACTGCAAAAAAATCAAGAAAATAATAGAGAATATATTAACGATGGCCTAGAAACTTCATCAATTCTTCTCCTTTTCAACTTATGCATTCGAGCTTATAGTAATTGAGTCAGGCAACATGGTATGTAATACTCAAACTGTCGTTAAATCTCCTGTCAATTCGATACAACTAAATTTTTTTTCTTCATACCATATCTACTCATCAATTGGACTGTAATATGAAATCATCCTCAAAGGTGCTCAACTTTGTTATTCCTCATAATCTGCGTCGTTTGTTCCACTCTTCAGTTGGATCGCATCAACTCATGGTATGTAATTTGAATGAAATTATGCCTGACTGCATGACAATCTGTTCTGTAACCTATCTTATAATTGCATACATCTAGATCCGATTAAAAAAACACTTGCAGGGTCATAATGCATTCTCATGACATTCACATGTAATCTGAGTATCAACTAATCATAATTCAATGCCTAAAGATGCATACAACAGCGGTATGCCTCATTAGACAGCACCTGCATTTCTAATATACAATTGGAAGTAGACTCACAAGTCGCCCTTTGGCGAATTGTTGTCATCTCTAACAAAGGGTTGGACAATCTCTCATTGGCTTTTTTAAAACCACAGCTTATCAGCACCGTAAGATAGGATGGCCTTCAAAACAACTCAAGCAAAATCTAATGAAATTAACACAAAGTTGATTGGAATCAACAGTTGTGGTTATATAGTTCCTATTGGTTACTCTTAAATAGACATTTGTGACTCAGAACTTATGAACAATAATGATTATTTGACTGTATGTTGTCTAGTCAGCTAACTATGGGCACTCATGTGTCAAGCATTTAACAGTGAAAGAGGAACCCAATGTTTTTCTTAGCCCTAAAATGAACATGACTTGAGATATAAACAAGGGAAAATGTTGTGAAAATTTCCTTTAGCA